CCCGGCTCTAAGGCGAGAGCCACATGTTGAAAACCAGAAGCCCTTAATCCGTGAAGCTCTGGCTCATTTTCAAAGCGAGTGTGTGCGGCGCGAAGGCGAGAGCGACATTTTGAAAACGCCCCGCCCACAATCCGAAGCTTTTGCGCATTTTTGAAGCGAGTGTGCGCAGTGCCAGGGCGAGAGCCACGTCTTGAAAACGACCCGCCCTCCATCTGTGGAAGGGTTGCCAATTTTGAAGCTTGAGGGTCGTAAATGGTAGGGAAGGCATAAGCGAAACGCCCGGCCCGCCCTAAAATCCGGCCTCGGGGTGCGACCGGGAGGAGTTATTTATAAGGAAAAGGAATGAAGGAGGAGGAAGAGGAAAAGGAGGAGGAGGAGGAGAAGGAGGAAGAAGAGGAGGATTCATACCCCCGATTTTTTTGTTTGTTTGTTCGGTGAATTGTTCCCAACCCTCCTTGGTTGGGTATTCGTTTGGAATCGAGCAATGCTCGCGCGTCCTTCCTTCCTTCCTTCCTTCCTTCCTTCCTTCCTTCCTTCCTTCCTTCCTTCCTTCCTTCCTTCCTTCCTTCCTTCCGTCCTTCCTTCCTTCCTTCCTTCCTTCCTCCCGCGTCCTCCCTCCTCCTGCCCCCTCTTCGCCGCCGATGAGGGGCTTGTCTTGCGTTGTGCGTACCTCTTGTGTGTGCATCTTGCCTGCGGTACCGCGGGGTGCGCTACGATCTGCGAACCCGTCGCCATTTTCGAGGGCTGCCGGTGGGTCCAGCGGAGTGAGGCACTGCGCAGATCTGAGCGGTAGCTCGCCGTCCCTGGGGGGCTGCGATGTGCGAAACTGTCGCCATTTTCGAGGGCCGCTGGTGGGTCCAGCGGAGTGAGGCACCGCGCAGATGTGAGCGGTAGCTCGCCGTCCCTGGGGGGCTGCGATGTGCGAAACCGTCGCCACTTTCGAGGGCTGCTGGTGGGTCCAGCGGAGTGAGGCACCGCGCAGATGTGGGCGGTAGCTCGCCGTCCCTGGGGGGCTGCGATGTGCGAAACCGTCGCCACTTTCGAGGGCTGCTGGTGGGTCCATCGGAGTGAGGCACCGCGCGGATTTGAGCGGTAGCTCGCCGTCCCTGGGGGGCTGCGATGTGCCAAAAAGTCGCCGCTTTCGAGGGCTGCTGGTGGGTCCAGCGGAATGAGGCACCGCGCAGATCTGAGCGGTAGCTCGCCGTCCCTGGGGGGCTGGATGTGCGGTCGCCACTTTCGAGGGCTGCTGGTGGGTCCAGCGGATGAGGCACCGCGCAGATCTGAGCGGTAGCTCGCCGTCCCTGGGGGGCTTCGATGAGCCAAACCGTCGCCACTTTCGAGGGCTGCTGGTGGGTCCAGCGGAGTGAGGCACCGCGCAGATGTGAGCGGTAGCTCGCCGTCCCTGGGGGGCTTCGATGAGCCAAACCGTCGCCACTTTCGAGGGCTGCTGGTGGGTCCAGCGGAGTGAGGCACCGCGCAGATCTGAGCGGTAGCTCGCCGTCCCTGGGGGGCTGCGATGTGCGAAACGGTCGCCACTTTCCAGGGCTGCTGGTGGGTCCAGCGGAGTGAGGTACCGCGCAGCGGCAGCTCGCCGTCCCTGGGGGGCTGCGATGTGCCAAACTGTTGCTACTTTCGAGGGCTGCTGGTGGGTCCAGCGGGGTGAGGCACCGCGCGGATCTGAGCGGTAGCTCGCCGTCCCTGGGGGACTGCGATGTGCGAAACCGTCGCCACTTTCGAGGGCTGCTGGTGGGTCCAGCGGAGTGAGGCACCGCGCAGATGTGAGCGGTAGCTCGCCGTCCCTGCGGGGCTGCGATGTGCGAACTTGTCGCCATTTTCGAGGGTTGCTGGTGTGCCCAGCGGAGTAAGGCACCGCGCAGATCTGAGCGGTAGCTCGCCGTCCCTGGGGGGCTGCGATGTGCGAAACCGTCGCCACTTTCGAGGGCTGCTGGTGGGTCCAGCGGAGTGAGGCACCGCGCAGATCTGAGCGGTAGCTCGCCGTCCCTGGGGGGCTGCGATGTGCGAACTTGTCGCCATTTTCGAGGGCTGCTGGTGGGTCCAGCGGAGTGAGGCACCGCGCAGATGTGAGCGGTAGCTCGCCGTCCCTGGGGGGCTGCGATGTGCGAAACCGTCGCCACTTTCGAGGGCTGCTGGTGGGTCCAGCGGAGTGAGGCACCGCGCAGATCTGAGCGGTAGCTCGCCGTCCCTGGGGGGCTGCGATGTGCGAACTTGTCGCCATTTTCGAGGGCTGCTGGTGGGTCCAGCGGAGTGAGGCACCGCGCAGATGTGAGCGGTAGCTCGCCGTCCCTGGGGGGCTGCGATGTGCGAAACCGTCGCCACTTTCGAGGGCTGTTGGTCCGCGCAGATCTGAGCGGCAGCTCGCCGTCCCTGGGGGGCTGCGATGTGCCAAACCGTCGCCACTTTCGAGGGCTGCTGGTGGGATCGCCACTTTCGAAGGCTGCTGGTGTGTCCAGCGGAGTGAGGCACCGCGCAGACCTGAACGGGGCCTCGCCGTCCTTGGGGGGCCATGTCATGTTGTTGCTGCCCCGCCGACGTTTTAAACCCCTTGCCCACCGTCTCCTTTTGGATTTTGCGTCTTCCTTAGTGACGCAGGGGTTCACTTAGTTTCTCATCGTGTTTCCCTTGATTGGGGACCTGCAAACCTTCCGAATGCCGCTCGCAGAAGTACATGCGTCCATGTCACGTCGCCGCCTTCTCGTCACATCTCCCAAGCTACTCCCGCCCCGCATTGCGCAGGGGTTGGGTACGTCGCCAGGGTATCTTTATGTGTTGTTTTTGTTTGTTTGTTTTTTCCTAAGTTTGGACCCCTGGAGGTCTCGACTCATTCCCGGAAGAGGTTCGCTCTCACCCCGCCGACAAAAAAAATATCTATCCCAGTGAGACCCTACCTAGGAGTTGGAGCCCCTAGGAAAGCAGCATTCGTAGTAACGGTAAGCTAAGCTAAAGCTAAGCTAAATCAAAACTACAACTAAGCTAAATCTAAACTAAAGCTAAGCTAAAGCTAAGCTACAGCTAGGCTAAAGCTACGCTATGTCTAAGCTAAAGCTAAGCTAAAGCTAAGCTATAGCTAACTCTAAACTAGAGCTAAGCTATAGCTAAGTTACACCTAAACTAAAACTAAGCTAGAGCTAAGCTAAAGCTAAGCTAAAGCTAAGCAAACACTAAGCTAAAGCTAATCTAAATTAAAGCTAAGCTAAAGCTAAGCTAAATCTAAGCTAACACTAAACTAAGCTAAGATAAAGCTAAGCTAACTCTAAGCTAACTCTAAGCTAAATCTAAGCTACAGCTAAGCTAAAGCTAAGCTAAAGCTAAAGCTAAAGCTAATGCTAAAGCTAAAGCTAAAGCTAGAGCTAAAGCTAAAGCTACAGCTAAAGCTAGGGGGCGCAACTGGGGGAACTGCTCCTCCCAGAGGACCGGGGGAACCGCCCAGGGCGATTTCCACTGCCCGGCCCTTTAAGCAAACCGGGTAAGAACCCTTCTAGACAGAGCCTAGGTAGGGAATTGTTTGTTTGTTTTTTCTTAAGTTTGGACCCCTGGAGGTCTCGACTCATGCCCTGGGACCGCCTTTTCATCTTGGCTTATTTTTTGACGGTCGCGCTGCGGGGCAGGACCGGATCCTCGTGCGCGATGCGGGCCAGATGTGCCCCGGCGCGCGCCGCCGACGACGCGCCCCGTCTGCTCGCGGCCAGGGGGGCGAGGTGCGAGTGGCGAGGGACGAATCACGAGGACGAGGGACGAGGACGAGGGACGAGGGCGACCCGATGGACGGAGGACGAGGGACGAGGACGAAGAACGAAAGAAGAAGGATGGGGGACGTCGAGGGACGAGGACGAAGGACGATTGACGAGAGACGGGGGACGAGGAGGGACGGACGAGGGACGAAGACCTTTCTGACGCCACGGGCGCATTCCCATGGCATGCCGGAGAGAAGGCCCAGACCTTCTATGGTGACTCCCCAGAACCGCGCTGCAGGCTTTTCGCCGTTGTCGTCGTCGCTGTTTCTGGATCCCCTGGGCCGTCCATGAACGACAAGGGAGGCAGAGTCAGGACTGGGGAAGGGGTGGAGCTCCACTCCAGGAAATCGTGTCGCAGGAGGTTTGGGAGTGAGGATGAGACGGGGGAAGTCCTAGGTGGGCCCTCGTCGCCACGGCTGGATTCGCATCGAAGTCCTGGTCAGACCGCGATCCGTGGAAGTGTCTTCTTCCTAGCCATTCTGCGGTGTTGGGCCCTCCGTTTGGAGAGACAGCGCCCCGCGTTTCTCCTCATACTGTTCCCTCCTCCCATCCCTGCCTCTGCCCTCCGAATGCCAATTTCGGCACACCTCTCACACGCTCCGTGGCCCCAAGTATAGGTAGCTCCACCTAAGACCCCAGTGGCCGCGGCCTCATGGTGGCGTCACAGCGATTTCGGCACACGCCTTACACGTTTCGTGGCCCCATAGGGAGCTCCACCTAAGGCCCCAGTGGCCGCGGCCGCATGGTGGCGTGACACTCCTTTCGGCACACCTCTCACACGTTTCGTCGCCCCACAAAAGGAAGCTCCACCTGAGGCCCCAGTGGCCCCGGCCGCACGCGTCCCCAGGCCTATTCTGGCACACTCCTCACACGTTTCGTCGCCCCATAGGGAGCTCCACCTATGGCCCTGGTGGCCCCGGCCGCACGCGTCTCCAGGCCGATTTCGGTACACCCCTCGCACGTGTCGTGGCCCCATAAGGAACTCCACCGCCCGCGTTCACCTAACAGTTCGTGCCCCCACAGAGAGCTCCACTGACCACTGAAGGCGATATGCACAAGTGCGCACCCACAACTGCATATGGTTGGGTCGCTCGGCAGGATAATTTTTGTTCGGGGGCAATTGATCTGGGTGATGGGTGTCTCGTGAGGGTCGAAGCGCTATTGCTTTGTTTGTTGGGGCTGATGGTGGTGATGAATAGATGCTGATCTTGATGCTGCAGGTGACGGTGACGCGGCGAGGCATATGGCGAGTGCGGATGACCCACGCTCTTCCGGCGACAGGCCACGGGGCCCTGAATCTCTCAACACAGGATCCTGCCACCCAGGCCTGACCGACTGGTCTCGGGTAAGGCTTCGCGCCCACGGCGGTGCCAGAAGCTCGGCATGATGACGGCGACGACGGCGGAAGGCGACGAGGGCTACGAGGAGGAGGACGACGAGGACGAAGACAACGAAGACGACGACGAGAACGATGACGACAACATCGATGATGACGACGACGAGGACATGGACGACTACGACGACGAGGAAGATGGCAACGACGACGACGAACGATGACAACAACGACCACTTCTGTAGCCACGGCGACAATGGCCACGACGACGACCACGACAACGAGGACAGCTACGCGGGACAAGGAGGAAAAGGACGACGATGGCGACGGCGTCGGAGGGGCGACGAGGACGACATCGACAGCGACACCGACGTCGAGGACGGCGACGTCTAGGACGACGAAACCCACGACGACGAGGACGGCGAGCACGACGACGAGCGGCGGCGGCGCGTATACGACCGACCGACGGCCGACGGGCGCCGTGCGCCAACTCGGGCGGCCGCCTCCGCCCAGTCGCGGGGTCGTCCGCGGCAGACTACGAGTTCTCCTTCTACTTTGCCACGCAGGCGCGGCGCGCGGCGCGGCGCGCGGCGCCGCCCTGGCGCCGCCCTGGCGGCCACCGCCGTCGTCCTCGTCGCCGCCGTCCTCGTCGCCGCCGCCGTCGTCGTCGTCGTCGTCGTCGCCGCCGCCGCCGCCGCTGCCATTGTCGCCGTCGCCTTCGCCTTCGCCGTCGCCTTCGCCGTCGCCGTCGCCGTCGCCGTCGCCGTCGCCGTCGCCGTCGCCGTCGCCGTCGTCGTCGTTGTCGTCGTCGTCGTCGTCGTCGTCGTCGTCGTCGTCGTCGTCGTCGTCGTCGTCGTCGTCTCAGTTGGTCGCGGCAGTGAGCGGGCGATTGCGGAGCGATCGGCGAGCTGCGGGGAGGCCTGGGGTGCTTGGCGGCGGGCTGTGGGCGCTGCAAGAGCCCCTGGCGCGCTCCGCGCGCCATGGAGGGGGGGGGATCAGCGCCGATCCAAGACATTCGCGCGGAACTCCGAAAGAAAGTTTGTGCTTATGCCGTTCGTGTTCTTCTCTCGTCGCCGCCGAGCTTCGTGAGCTCTCAAGCGCAGGCAGGCGGCGATGTCCATCGTCGTCGGCGTCGGAGGGGGAGGAGGGGCAGGGGGACGAGGCGTCCAGACTGACGGAGTCCCCTCCGGCGAGGCGCAACACCCAGGTCGGGAGGGGGACGGAGGATGCCGCGAGGGAGGACGGAAGACGCGCGCACTCCGCCGATTTCCCCCCCTCCCCCTGGGCCTCGGGGAACGAATGGCAGGCCATGCTTTCCCGTCGCAGCGGGTAGCTGGCGCAGCCGGCGGCGGAGAGAGGTGCCCTCCCCCGAGCGGCACCCGCGCCTGCCGGGCAGCACGCGCAGCCGCAGCCGCACCCGGCGCACCGGGCACTTACGGGTGGCAGCTCCCGGGCCACAGCCACGGCCCGCACCGGTAAGCCGCTTCAAAGTACGTGCGCCAGTGCAGGCAGGGGCGGTGGCCGTCTGGCGCGCGAGCCAGAGTGGCTACAGATGGAGGGCGAGGGTGATAAGGTAGTGGTGGTGAGGATGATGATGATGATGATGATGATGATGATGATGATGATGAGGATGAGGATGAGGATGAGGATGAGGATGATGATGATGATGAGGATGATGATGATGATGATGATGATGATGACGATGATGATGATGATGATGATGATGGTGGTGGTGATGATGATGATGATGATGACGATGAGGGTGTACAGGCCTCTGCCTGCAGCCCTTTTCATATGCTCTGCGCATGGAGCCTGCTGGCTGTGAATGTGCTTGTTTCCCTCCGCCGTTCTCTCTCTGTTTTTCTCGCTCCCTCTTTTTTTTTTTTTTTTGTTCTCTCTCTCTCTCTCTCTCTATCTTCCTCTCTCGTTTCCTTCTTGTGGCGTTCTACTAAGGATTTGGGTATTTCCCCATCAATGGTCATGTACTGTGCTGCGGTTCCAAGTTTTTGTTGTGTGGTGCCCAGTTATATGATTTTTCGATCGGGTCATCAGGGGATGCACGCCCAATCGGTTTCATACGTTTGCAGTGGCATCTTTGTTGCGCTGCTGTTCTTCCTCCTGCTCCTCCTTTTCCCCGTCTTCCCCATCCACATTCACATACAATTGTGTTTGGTTTACGGCAGTGGCCGTTGGGGCCATGTGGGAGTGGGCGAATTCGTATCAGCCGCCATCTGCTTTCCTGCTCCGCGAGTTCCCCGAGTCCAGGGCTGTTGCCGGTTTTTGCCTTCGTTGCCTTGCGGTCGGCCTCGCTCGCTCTGTGCGGTTGGGATAGCCCACTTGAGGGGCAGTGTATTTCTCCTTCTGCTCGATTTGAGATCTGTACACAATGAGATGATGCTGCTCCTGATGATGATGCTGATGTTGATGATGAAGATGCGGATGGTAATGATGATGTTGCTGCTGATGATGATGATGTTGCTGATAGTGGTGGTGGTGGTGGTGATGATGATGCGGATGATGAGATGATGATGCTGGTGATGCTCACGATGATGATGGTGTTGAGAATGATGATGACAATGGTGATGATGCTGTTGTTGGTGATCATACTGATGACGATTACGACGATGATGATGCTGGTGATGCTGGTGATGATCATGACGGGTATGTTGACGACCGTGAGGGTGGTGGTGATGATGACGATGATGATGACGATGGTTACGATCATGGTGAAGGTGATGGTTATGGTGGTGGTGCTGAGGATGATGAAGCTGGTGATGGTGACGGTGACGGTGATGGTGATGGTGAGGATGCTGGCGATGGAGATGGTGATGGTGGTGGTGATGGTGATGGTTGTGATGACGACGGCAATGATGATGCTGATGATGATGATGCTGACCAGGAGGAGGAGGAGGCAGTGGAGGATGAGATGGAGGAGGAGAAGAGGGAACAGAAGAGCGAGGAGCAGGAGGAGGAGGAGGAGAGGAAGGAGGAGGAGGAGGAGGAAACTTACCAATAACAACAATAGTGATAACAATAATCGTATTATTAATACTACTAATACGGATAATAATGATAATAATAACAACAATACTAATGCAGCTAACAATAGTATTACCAACCATATCGTTAATAATAATGGTAGTACTAATACAACCAGTCATAATAACATCACCTATCCAGCATAATCATACAACTACTTATACTAATCATACTACTCGTAATACTATTACTCAGATTTCATACAGATCTTTTTAATGACAGTACTAATTTCAGAAGGAGGAGGAAGAGGAGGGGGGATGGAGGAGGAGGAGGAGGATGAGCAGGGGAATGGGGAGGAGGACTAGGAGGAGGAGGAGGAGGAGGAGGAGGAGGAGGAGGAGGAGGAGGAGGAGGAGGAGGAGGAGGAGGAGGAGGAGGAGGACGAGAAGGGGGACCGGCAGCGACGACGCCGACGACAGCGGCAAGAACGAGGGCGAGGGTGGCCCCCCCCCAAGGTGTGCTACGCGTCCGCGAACTGCGTCAACTCGCCCGCTGTAGTCCGCGGGCCGGTGATCACCGACGGGCTGAAGAGGGTGCCCTGGTGTTCTCGCCGTCGTTTCGCTGTCGTTGCCGCCGCCGTTGCCGCAGCCGCCGTTGTCGTCGTTGCCGCCGTCGTCGCCGCCACCGTCGCTGCTGCGTTGTCCTGGGCGTCGTCGTCGTAGCTGCCGCCGCCGCCGCATGAGGAGGAGAAGGAGGGGGAGGAGAAGGAGAAGGAGGAGGAGGAGAAGGAGGAGGAGGAGGAGGAGGAGGAGGAGGAGGAGGAGGAGGAGGAGGAGGAACAGGAGCAGGCGGACAAAGAGGAGGCCCTGTGATTTCGGAGGGATCTCGGGGGGATCTAAAGGATATGAGCCATCCCCTGAGGGGAGCAGGGCGATGTGGAGGACGGGGGCTCCACAGGATCCTCAGGATCCTGCGGGCAGGGGGTTACTGAGGGGCTCCAGGGGAGCTTCGGGGGGCTCGTCGGGGCTCTTTAGGTGGGGGGGCTCGTCGGGGGGCTCGCCGAAAATGGCACATAATCCGTCGTGAATTCTCACAGGGCGGAGGATGCCAGGGCGATTTTTGGCGCCGCCGCCGTTCGAGGCCCGAGGGTCGAGGCTCGATGACCTCGATTCGAGGACCGAGGTTCGAGGATCGAGCATCGAGCATCGAGGCTCGAGTCTCGAGGCCGAAAAGTGCCAACAGGCCTCCTGTCGTGACCTTCTGCCGCGGCGCGGGGACGACGCGGGCGGGCCCTGCAAGGTCTGGCGCGTGCCTCGGGGCCCTCCGAGCGCCCCGCAGGCGTCCTTCTCCCCGTCGCAGCTGAAAGAGCGGGGGTCCTACCGCCTCTGCTACTGCAGCGCGGCGCAGGCGCCACGGGCGAGGGGAGGGGGGCAAGGGGGGAGGGGGAGGAGAGGGAGAGAAAGGGGTGGGGAGGAGGAGTGGGAGAAGAAAGAGGAAATCAATAGTGTGGGGAACAAGGCGAGAAACTGATGACACATCATAAGACATACCATAACTTGCATGCCATGCACACGCATACACTTATCTATGTGTGTATGTGTGTGAGAGAGGGGATCATTGTGGTATAAGGTGCGCTCCATGTGTTTCCGCTTCGGGTAAGAGTGCAGGTGTCGATAAGTTTTACTTCGCTTATCCTCCTGCTCCTGATCCTGCTCCTGCTCCTGCTCCTCCTCCTCCTCCTCCTCCAACTTGCTCTTCTCTTCCTCCTCCCCCCCTCCTCATGGTGCTCCTCCTCCACCTCCTCAAGACGGTCCCGCGAGGCTTGCGATACGACCAATCGGAGATCCCCTCGGAAGGCCACAGGCAGGTGCAATCTTGCCTTGGTTCTGGTGCAGATTGGGGCGGCGACGAGGGGACAGGGACGCGAGCATAACAATTTAAACACCGACGCAACGAGTACGACTCAGCACTTGCCAACGTTGACAAATGCGAGCGGCGGGAGCCTGTGCGGACGCGCCTCGCGATGCAGGCCTGCGCCTCGAGTTAAGACTGTTCTCTTGATCTTAGGTGCTTTACGATCGCACAGACTGTTCCCCTCAGCCAGACACCATCAAACACCACAATGTTCAAGTATGTTTTTTGGGTTGGCTTCCATATGGATTTTTTTTTCCGCTGTGCAGCTTTCATGTTCCCTTCACTAAGGAGTTCTGCAGTATTGGTTCGGTAGCAAAGATGTTAGCCAGCGCGGGCCCCACACAGTGTATTTCTAGCCATATCTGTGGTGCTACATCTGTGTTGCAATCTACGTTGTCCAGCATATGTGGTGCAATACACGAGTCTCTCTCCTTATATGTATATGTATAAACATTTTTTATATACGTAGTTGTTTAGGTAGTGTGTAATCTAGGCTGTGCAATCCGTGGAGCAAAATCCGTCATGCAATATCGATTATATATACATATATATGTTGCAGTTCATGTTGTGCAGTCGATCTCGTGCAATATATGTGGTGCACTTTGTGTGTGTGCAACTCACCCCGCCGAACTTGAAGCTGTCATCTCCACAAATCCATTGCTCGCGCAATCATCCCGCCCAACCACCCGCAACGGGATTTGCAAAACCCACGCGGCGGCGAATGCGATGACTTCTCGGCGTTGGCTGGCGCATCGCCGCGAGCCGCGCTAGCGCGCATGCTCGCGCACGCAGCTGCCAGCTAGTTTGGCACGGCTGGCGCGGCCGCGGTGGCGCTGACCTCTGTCGGCGGCAAGGCCAGTGACGGGGTCGATGCTGACCATGCCGACGACGATGACGGCGTCTTCGCGTCGGTGATGCAGGTTCTGGAAGGAGTTCGAAATGAGGGCGCGGCCGACGCGCGAGAGTGGCCTGCATCCCCCCCAGCACGCGCGCAAACACGTTCGAATGATTTCGACATGTGGCGCGAGAGGTACGTTTGGCAGAATTCAATGACAAGGTTGAAATTCCGATGGTTTTTTTCCTGAGACTTAGCAATACCGCGAGCGCATTCAAACATATTGATGTTGCAAACCGATGTGCTGTTTATATGTGTCTGGCACACCCGATTTGTTGAAGGATTTTGGCGTGCGCGCGCGACGACGCGCGCGCGTGCTCTTCGTCCCTTGTTTTTGCAAGGGATTCTTGCGCGCGCAGGGGGCGCTCGAGTGATGTGGACATGCGCTCGCCAGAGGCACGCTTGGTATCAGTTCATGAACATGTTGAAGCACGTACGGTTTTCTTACACATTCGCAAGAACGCGAGCGCGGGCTTTCTTATAACATTCCCCAATCCGAGCTTGCTTCTGTAGGGGTCCTAGCGGATTCATTTATGTCGGTGACCTACGTCGCCGATTTCGGCCCGGCCAGGGTGCCCGGGTGCCCGGGGATGCCCGTGTGCCCGGAGGTCCGGGTGCCCACGGGTGCCTGGGTGCCCGGGTGCCCCCAGGTGCCCGGGTGCCCAGGTGCCTGGGTGCGTGGGTGCCCGGTAGCCCTATAGCGTGATAGTCTTATAGCCGTATACGTTATAGCTCTATAGTCCTAGATCCCTATAGCCGCATAACCCTAGAGCCCTATAGATCTAGAGCCCTAGTACCCCTATGACCCTATAGCCCCATAGCCCTACAGCCCGAATAGCCCTATATTTTTTGCCTTATAACCCTTATAGCCCTAGAGCCCCATAGTCCTAGAACTCTATAGCCCTATAATCCTATAGCCCCATAGCCCCATAGTTTTATTGCCCCACAGCCTTAGAGCCCTAGAACCCTATAGCCCTATACTCCCATAGCCCTATAAGCCCAAACAACAATCTGATTTGGTTTTCCTCCAGTATCATTCTTTGCGAAACCAGATGTTTTTTTGTAAGTTTCCGGGGCGCTCGATTTTGAGCTCCCTACGACATGAAGCCCAAGGCTTTCGAAGTATTTCGGCATGCGCGTGCGACGACGCGTTCGCGTGTAAGGGGTTTTGGAATTCTGAGAATGTTGATAAGCGAGTGCGCGCGCATAGTTGTTTGGGCAGAGGATGAGAGGGGGGGATCTTGGCCTTTCTGACGCGGTACGAATTCATATTAAGGATGGGCGATTGGGCAGAATCATATGTAACATGCAGTGCGCGAAGGGGAACACTTAGTTTCTGCGGGGGGGGGGGCGGTTGATGTTATTATTCCGATTGAAAGGAGAATCAGTGTTGTACAGTCTATGTTGTGCAATTATTTCTGCTCGCAGTGAGTTGTCAACTCCAATGCTCGTGCAATAACCCTACCCGCACGTCCGCAAGCTTGTTTGCAAAACCCATGCGGCGGCGATTGCGATGAGTGCATGGCGTTGGCTGGTGCATCTGCGGCCGCGCTAGCCCGCGCGTGCTTGCGCGCGCAGCGGCCAGGTAGCTTGGCGCGACCGGCGCGGCTGCGGTGGCGCTGACCGCAGGGCACTTCCCAGCGGTCACTGCAGTGCGAGCAGGGGACCTGGGCGGGCTCGGTATAATGGCGACGTCGGCGACGGTAGACGCGATGATGGTAGTGGCGATGCTGGCAACGATGATGACATTGTCGGCGGCAAGGCTGGTGACGGCGCCGATGCTGATGCTGATCGCGCCCGCGACGATGGTGGCGTCCTGCGTCGGTAATTAAGGCTTTGTCAGGAGTTCGACATGCGCTTGTGGCCGACGCGCGAAAGTGACCCGCGCGGTATCGTTCGACGCGGATCGTGCCCCCCAGCACGCGCGCAAGGTCATAATAAGTTGTCGGGCATTCGATTTGAACATTCATACGGAACTAGCGGTTCTTGAAGGATTTCGGCCTGCGCGCGCGACGAAGCGCGCTCGTGCATTTTTTTTTTTTTTTTTTTTTTTTTTTTTTTTTTTTTTTTTTTTTTTTTTTTTTTTTTGCAAGGGGTTCTTGCGACAGCGCCCGCGCACGGGCGTTCGAACGATTTTGACGCGCTCGCGCGAAAAGGCCCTTGTGTAGCACTTCGACAATATGAGGAACCCATATTTATATCTTTCTGTAAATGTACATATAAGTGAATATGTACGTGTATACGTACATGTACATGTATATGTATATGTATATGTCGATGCCTATGTGTATGTGTAGGTATATGTACATGTATTTGTACATGTACATGTTTGTTGTCATGTTTGTGTATGTAAATATAGATTTATGTATATGTTTATGTTTATGATTCTGTATATGTGTATGTATATGTATATGTATATGTATTCGTAAACGTATATGCATATGTATATGTACATGTTTATGTGTGCGTACACGTATGTGGCTATGTACACGTGCATGCATTTGTAGATGTATATGTAAATGGCTACGTATATGTATATGTTTGTGTACGTTCATTAATACAACGGGCCTTGCAAAATCGTTTTTTTTTTTTCTGCGAATACATGTGTTTTTATATTTTTTTCGGGGCGTTGTTTTGAATTCCTCACGCAAACTACAGTTTTCGACAGATTCTGGCATGCGCGCGCGACGACGCGCGCGTGTGCACTTCGTCCTTTCTTTTCTCTCCCCAAAAGGACTTTTGACAACTCATGGCTTTTGATAAACGAGTGTGCGCGCAGAGTTGTTTTTGCAGAGAACGATGGGGGTGGGGGGTGCCTGCGGGGCGTTGCTGGCCTGGCTGGGGTGGTACGAGGCCTGAGGCTTGCCGTGAACTCCTCCAGAAGGGCGCCCATCTTTTCAATACATATATATGTATGTACGTCATATATGTTTAATATATATATATATATATTTATTTATGTATCTTTGTCACACTCTTAAAACAAACGCATTCGAATACGTGGGGGTATTTCAGTTAGCCAGTTAAACCTGAAGCTGCAGTTTACATCGTTAAGCTTTGCAACACATTGAGTTCGCTTGAGTAAGTTAGTTATTGAAGTTCTGCTTTTTTATATTCATCATGCAGTCGTTTAATTGATTCAACATGCTGTGTTGGCTCCAATCACACACACATATATATATATATATACATACACACACGTGTGTGTATATATATATATATGTATATACACACGCATCTAATGGCCTTTGGTCCATGCCGCCACCGTGCCTGGGTTGTCTGTGAGAAGCATATTGGATGTTCGTTGGGATCTCGTGGGGGGCCTTTCGGGGGCCTCTTGGAGGCAGTTGGGAGGCCTCTTGGGGCCCGTTTGGGGGCCTCTTTTGGGCTTTTGGGGGTCTCTTGAGGCTTTTTGGGGGCCTCTTGGGGGGCCTGTTGGGGCCTCCTCTTCCTGGGCGCCTCCTGGGGGCCTCTTGGGGTGGAAGGCTCGGGTTATCGGTTCGTGTTCCCTCTCTTGCGCCCCTTTGGGGCCGTCTTGGGGCCTTCTTTGGCCGTATTGGGCGCCTCTTGGGCCGTTTTGGGGCGCTCTTAGGCCGTCTTGGAGCCCTCATGGTGGCCTCTTGGGCCTTTTTGGGCCTCTTGGGCTGCCCTGGAGCGACGGAACATTGAAAAGGCGAGAACGCCAAAGAAACCCCTTGGAGGCCTCTTGGGGCTTCTTGGAGGCCATCTTGGAGCCATATTGGGCGTCTTGAGCCGGTCTTTGGGCATCTCGGGGCCCTCTTGAGCCGTCTTGGAGGCCGGTTGGGGCCCTCTTGGCCCGTCTCGGGGCCCTCGTGGGCCTGGACAATTCACGCGCCACCATTTGGCAAACCCCATGGGGCACGCGGGACGCCCCAGGCCTGGCACGCGGAACGCCCCAAAAGATTTCTGAATTTGGGGTCGGGGCTCTTAAGAGACTCCTCAGGAGTGAGGATTGCGGCTGCAGAAGGATTGGGCCATGGACCTGGGGACACGCCCGCTCCGAACACTCCGTGCCCAGCGGCACGGTGGCGCATATGTATGTGTGTATATATGCAGATGTAAGCGTACCATGGTTTTGTCTAGAACGATGAACGTGAACATGAACACGAGTATTGACATGGGCATGGCTATGAAGATGAATCTGACGATGCCGATGACGATGGCGACGACGACGACTACGATGATGATGATGAGGAGGATGATGATGATGCTGCTGCTGATGATGATGATGAGGGTGTTTGTGATGTTGATGATGGTGATGATGAGGGTGATGATATCGACGATGCCGACTACGACGACGATGCTGATGATGATGATGATGATGATGCGGCTGCTGCTGTTGATTATTCAGTTGCTTATGGTGAGTATGATGCAGATGATGACGATGATAATGCTGACCATGCTGATGATGAGCATGGAGATCATGATGATGATTACGACGGCAATCATGATGATTATGGTGATGACGATGCTGCTGCTGCTGATGATGATGATGATGATGGCGAGGAATATGATGTTGGTGCTGATGATGATGCTGTTGATGATGATGGTGGTGGTGGTGGTCATGATGATGATGATGATGATGATGATGATGATGATGATGATGATGATGATGATGATCTTGACTATGGTGTTGGACGTTGATGGCATGAAGGGAAGGGATCATGCCGCAAGTAAGGATGATGAACGTAATAACCAGGCGGTGGTGAGGACAATCGAACGGGGACAACAGGGATCGTTGGAGAGGGAGGAGGGGGAGGAGGGCGGTCATGCTGGCACTCGTTGTGGTGATGGTGGATCCTCGGCGCTGTAACGTGTCGAGTTTCGCTACGGAGGAAGAGGACAGGGCGGCCGAGGAGAAGCTGGAGGCCGATGAGAAGGCGGAGGCGGAAGAGGAGCAGGAAGAGGAAGAGGCGGAGGAGGAGGAGGAGGCTGAGGACGATGACGATTAGGAACAGGCAGAGATGGAGATGTAAGATGAGAAGGGCCAAAAGAAAAAGACGAAGGGATCGCATTCGCAGGGGAAGGAGGAGGAAGCGGAGGTGGTAGATGAGGAGCGAGAGAAACGGTTGAGGAGGGGAGGAGGAGGACCAGAGGAAACCCAGGGTGCATCGACGATGCTGCAATCTACCCTCCCGTCCCAAGTCCCCCCCTCATAAGTCCCTTCAGGTCTCCCGACTCACGTCAAGAGGCGTTCCCTTGAAATAGGAGCACTGTACGGGCCTGCCGTTCAGCCGAGAGCCCCGTCGTGAGAAGCACCTGCCATATCATAGCAACGAGGTGTAAGGAGCGCGAAGAGGTAGTATTGTAGAGGTCAACAGGTCAACGACGTGTCCGGCGAGAGCCCCGTTCTGTCAATGAACCGCCCCCCGCCGTGGAGTTTCTCAAACAAGTCAGCATTTGTTTCGTGCAGAGAAGGGGATCGCCCTCCATCCGTGCAGTTTCTCAACATGATCAGCCTTCTGGTCGTGAAGCTTGCGGAAAGCTCCAGCGACAGCCCCGTTTGGGAATTGTGCCGTCCTCCATCCTTTGTAGCTCTTGCAAGTCTGTGAGACGAATGTGAAGGGCGCTGAGGCGAGAGCCGTATTTTTGAACAGGGGCCGCCCCCCGTCCTGGTAGCTGTTACAAGCTGGGTGTGCGCGGCCTTCAGGCGAGACTATCGTGCGGAATTCTCCCCACTCTAACCTTTCTAGCAGTCGAAGGCGAATATGCGCCCGGCGGAGGCGAGAGCCCCGCTCTGTCCCCTCCTCCTCCTCCTCCTCCTCCTCCCCTCCTCCCCTCCTCCTCCTCCTCCTCCTCCTCCTCCCCCTCCTCCTCCTCCCCTCCTCCTCCTCCTCCTCCTCCTCCTCCTCCTCCTCCTCCTCCTCCTCCTCCTCCTCCTCCTCCTCCTCCTCCCCCGGCGTCTGATCCTGACCTCCATCCCAGCAGTTCTTGCAAACTTTTGAGACGAATGTGCGCTGGGCGACGGCGATCGCCCAATTTGGAAAACGACCCTTCTCTGACCCCTGGTATCTGTTGCCGATTTCAAGCGCAAGACCACATGCGGTAAGGAAGTCTCTGTCAAAGCACCCGGCTCGACCTACCGAAACTTCTGGGGGCCCGACAGGACAAAGTTTCATACAAGGAAAGGATGTAGGACGATGAGGATGACGATGATGATGATGATGATGATGATGAGGAGGAGGAGGAGGAGGAGGAGGAGGAGGAGGAGGAGGATGAGGAGGAGGAGGAGGAGGAGGAGGAGCAGGAGGTGGGGGATAAGTACGCGGCGGCGGTGGCGAAAAAAAGGAGTGAAATATACACAAGGGGAATGTGCATGATGATATCGAGGGGTACAAGGAGAATGGGGGATGCAGATGTAGATCTTCCGTCGTTGTCGTCGTCAGTGTTGTCGCCGCCTTGAATCATAACCGACGAATGACGATGAACGCGACGACGACATGCTTTCGTCGCCTTCGTTCAGAACCGGTCCTCAGACACCCTGCAGGCCAGTCTTTCGAGCGTTGCGCCTGGCCGTAATGACGAGGCACTCCAGAAGCTTTCCAGAGGCCTGCGAAACGACGTCGCCGTCGTCGCCGTCGTCGCCGCCGTCGCCGCCGCCGCGGTCGCGGTGCCCGCCGCCTGTGACGGTCGCCGTCGCGGTCGGTCGTCGGTCGTCAGTCGTCGGTCGTCGTCCGTCGTTCTTGTCGTCGGTAGTCGGTCGCTGGTCGCTGGTCGTCGGTCGCTGGTCGTCGGTCATTGGATGTCGGTCGTCGTCGTCGTCGTCGTCGTCGTCGTCGTCGTCGTCGTCGTCGTCGTCGTCATCGCTGTCGTCGTCGTCACGGTCGTCCGTCGTGAGTCGTCGGTCGTCGGCCGTCTCCGAGGCCGACCCGACGGGCCTGCTGGCGGCGCCGTGCGACGCCGACCTGTCGCCGCCCTACGCGCCCGCTGGTGTTTTGTACAGCCTGAGCATCGACGAGGCCCCAGCCGGAGAGGCGCCCCGGGGGCGGAGCGACACTGCCGCCGCCCGCGTTGTCGGCGTCGTCGTCGCCGTCGCCGCCGGTCGTCGTCGTCGTCGTCGTCGTCGTCGTCGTCGTCGTCGTGGTCGTCGTCGTCGTGGTCGTCGTCATCGTCGTCGTCGTCGTCGGCGCGAGGAGACCCATCCCGGACGCTTTTCCCATGGAGATGGTGGGCATCAGGGGAGCTGAAGGCTCAGATTTCCGACGAGCTGAAGGCTCAGTGAAGGTTCACAGCTTGAGACGGGGAGGCACCCTGGACCTCAAGCCGAGCCCTGTTTTGTTGTTTGGGGGGTGTATACCTTCGCATGGTGCAACACAGCATGCGAGTCCGACGAGGTGTTCTTGTTGCGATCTGGGAGTTTTTCCTCCTCCATGTTGGCCTCTGGGGCCTGCTCTCGGTCCCAGGGGCAATCAGCATCGGATCCAGGGCGGAAGTCTGTCCCCGGGGAAGGGGGTCAGGACCCCCTTGGAGCCGCGCATTGGAAGCGCCATATCGTCGGATGTCTGGGAAAGGAGATGTGTTCAGGGGGATAAGCATTGACCCCCAGTCGCCCATCCAATCCGCCCGTCAGGGCCTGTGTGCACCGAGCCTGCCTGGGAACATGCGGTTTCGCTGTCGGGAGTCCATCGCCGATCCATCGGCGCCGTATCGTGGATTCCAGGCCGATGCCCCCGCTGAGCCAGTTACCCTTATCGGCCTCCCCCTGGTGTTGCGCGCATAATTGTAGTTAGTTTAGTTTCCTCACGTATCAGTCATACCACCAGAGTGCTTACTCAAGAGACAGTCCTTGGCAAGTTTTTTTGTCTTGTTGTTGTTGCTGTTGAATTCTCATTTCTGAAGAATAATTTTTGTTGTTCCCCCCGTCCGGTGGACATTTTTTTTTTTTTTTTTTTTTTTTTTTTTTTTTTTTTTTTTTTTTTTTTTTTTTTTTTTTTTTTTTTTTTTTTTTTTTTTTTTATTGAAGTGCCCTTCCCAGGGTTCGCACCCTGTTTTTTAACAGGGAAAGTCTTGAGGATCAAACTGCGTTGTTGGCCCCCAATTTACAACAACAACATCGGCTCCCGCTTGATAATTCCTAACAATTTATTGAAGAATCGCGGTCTCGCTTGGGACTTCCTTGCAATTTACCACGGGATCGCGGCTCCCGCTTGATACTTCCTCACAATTTATTGAACAATCGCGCTCTCGCTTGGGACTCCTCTCGTCGTGGTCGTCGTCGTCGTCGTCGTCGTGGTGAGTCCGCTGTCTGTCCATCTTGGGGTCGGGTTGCCGCGGGTCGGTGTGTGCATCGCCAGCGTTGCCACTGGCCAGGCCGACGGTCCGCCGCTTGCCGGGGCCCGTCTTGCAAGCCTTTGAGACGCGCGTGTTCCACTGGCCCAGGTTCTTCTGCAGGCTTCGAATGAAGGCCTCCCTCGACGAGGCCCCTGGGGCGTTCCCGCAGGTTTTCGGAGCCTCTGGAACTGCTCGGTGGTCATCGTGGCCATTCCGAGGCCCCCCAGAGGTCATAGGAGGCTTTCGGGTGCCTTCCAATCCCCCCGCGCCTTGTTTCCGCACCAGTCTCCGCTCGTATCCACCTGCCCCCTTTTTTTCAACCTTCTTTCCCCGTCTTCTCTACTCTTTCCCTTTATCTTCATTTTCCGTTCGTTCGTACTCCGTTGTGCTATTCCTCAGTTCTTCGCATTCCGCCCACTCCTCCCCAGGCCACCCCATCCCGCCCCAACAATCTCCACCCCTTCCCGCTCGCATTCTACATTTCTCCCAAATTCTTCCCAGTCCCCCTCCAGATTCCTCCGCGCGCCCCCCGCTCCTCCGCGCTCCTCCCGGTTCTTCTTCTCCACTCCTTGCCGCTCCTCCTCCTGAGGCCCTACTCTTGTCCACTCCATTCCAATCCACTCCACGTCCCCGCGCTCCTCTTGACGTGGTTGCAATTCTCGCTATCCTTCCGCCCCGCTCTCCCAACATCCCGCTTCCTTTTCAGGGTTCCGCGAGATTTGTGTCTGACACCAGTTCGCAGCTGTATGTCCCCCCATGGGGGTATCCGCGATATCTCCTTTCGAGGTGGTGGTGCGTGGCGCTGTTTATGGCGCGATCCATGTCGAAACTTATTGTTGCGTTGTGTTGGAGAGGCTGGCACAAGCCATGGCGCAAATTGAATTGCCATTCGCGCCGCAAAACATCGCCCCCCTCCTTTTTGCCCCTCCCCTCCCTTTCTCCGACCCCTTCGTCCTTGTTCTCCCCCGTTATCTGTTGCCCTTCGTTTTCAAGGGCTTCGGTGACCGCGCGTGGCAGGGAATGAAAGTACCCCGCAAGCGGGGGTGCGATCGAAGGCGAAGAGGGCGGGTATCCAGGGTTTGGGATGTGCATATTGAATGACACGCGAGCATATTAGAGCGAACAGTCTTAACATGATGGTTGTTGTTGTTGTTGATGTTGTTGTTGAACTTGTTGTTGAACTTGTTGCAGTTGTTGTTGTTGATGATGATAATGAATGTTAAGTACTAAACATTTTTTTTCTGTTGGACCCCTTATGAGCGCCCTGGCGCTCTCGCCGTGGCGCCGGCAGCATTTTCATCGAAGTGAGGCTCGTTCCCAAACGCTTTGGGGGACCGCCGAAACGGCCCCCCCAACAACAACTGCGCTCCCGTTCGAGACTTCCTCCTGGTGCTTCTGCTCGCCGCCGAAAGCAGCCGCCTCAACAAAACCAGCGCTCTCGGTCGAGACTTCCTCCCGTTTTACCTTGGACAGGCGCGCTACTCTTTCTCTCATCGGCGCCGCCCCCCGAGGCGGTGCTCTTGCTCGCCGCCGACAGCCCCCGTCCCGACAAAACCAGCGCTCCCGCCCGAGACTTCCTCCCCTTTTACGCTGGACAGGCCTTTTTTTGTATTTTTATTTTTTTTCTCTCCTCCTCCTCCTCCTCCTCGTCCTCGTCGTCCTCCTCCTCCTGTTCCTTTTCCATCCTCCCCCTTCCGTCCGTTTCCTCCCTCTTCCTTCCTCCACCCCTTCCTCCTCTCTCCTCCCTCTTCCGTCCCTCTTTCCTCCTCCTGCCTCCTCCCTTCTCCTCCCTCTCCTCCTCCTCCTCCTCCTCCTCCTCCTCCTCCTCCTCCTCCTCGTCTTCCCTCCTCCTCCTCCTCCTCCTCTTCCTCCTTCTCGTCCGCCTCCTTTTCCTTGTTCTCCTCCTCCTCTTCTCCTCCTCCTCCTTCTCTTCCCTGCTTCCCCCCCTCCCTTCCTCCCTCTTCCTCCCTCCACCTCCTCCTCTTCTCCTTCCTCCCTTCTCCCTCTCCCGTCCCTTTTTCCTTCCTCCCCCACCTTTCCCTTTTCGTCCCCCTTGTCTCCTCCCTCCTCCTGCTTCCCTCCTCCCTCCTTCCTCCTCCCTTCTCCTTCCGTCCTCCCTCGTCGCTCCCGTTTGATACTCCCCCACCTTTTACTCAAGACTGGGGCCGTCGTTTCGGCATCGCCTCAGAGGGGGCTTCCAAGAGTCCCTGTTGAGCCTTCGTTATCAAATAGTTAACATTTTTGGAGAGCGTGTATATTGTGGAGGAGGAGGAGAAGAAGGAGGACGGATGACATCCACGGACTCCAAGGATCGAGGGTCGACGGATTGATTTCAGGGATTCCTTGAGAGGATGTGGATGGGGCAGGTGGAGGATGCGAGCATGGGAGCGGCAGCGCCTAGGGGCGTGAACGTTCAGGGTCACGCGCCGAGGCCGCAGGATGATGGCGTAACAGCTCGAACGAGGAGTAAGAACCACCTCGTCCTCGGATGTACTGCTGCTACAACTACTCCTCCTTCCCCCCTTCCTCCTCCTCCTCGTCCTCCTCCTCCTCCTCCTCCTCCTCCTCCTCCCTCCTCCTCCTCCTCCTCCTCTCCCTCTTCCTCCCCCTTCATCTCCCCCCCCGTCGTCGTCCTCTTCCTCCGAGGTGCGGGGCGCGCGCGAGGCGATTGCGATGGCGATGTGCCGTCCGAGCTGTGGATGTCGAAGTTCCTCGGTAGAGGTGGTGGCAATACTTTCTTGGGCGGGAGATCTGGGCAAGGGAATGTCGGGCCCCGCGTGCCAGTCAAATCCCCCGTGATGGGGTGTGGTATCCAGAGGGTTGCGTGTGACGCGTGGAAGCGTGGCGCATGATGGTAAACTGATTGTAGTTGTTGTGGTTGTTGTAGTTGTTGTGGTTGTTGTGGTTGTTGTGGTTGTTGTGGTTGTTGTGGTTGTTGTGGTTGTGGTTGTTGTTGTTGTTGCTGCTGCTGCTGCTGCTGCTGTTGTTGTTGTTGTTGTTGTTGTTGTTGTTGTTTTTTTTGTGTGCGTTTTCATGGAGAAACAACCTGCCTGTGACGTCAGCGAGGCTATTGCGAACTTATGGTTTCAAACAGTAGCTCACGTCGATGATCTTCTCTCAGGGGGGCGGGTCTCCCTCCCCGTGGGATTTGCCCTCCAAGCGTTGGCCCGACAGCTCCCCGCTCCCCAGGGGCCCAGCCACCGAGACACCTCCCGGAGCCCGTCCCATAACCGCTCCGAAACCCTTCTCCTAACTCGGTGGTGGACAGACCTCCGACCATGACACGTCGATTAGCGAATTGGCCGTTTTCGGTTCGCGAAGGGGCGTCGCGGCCGTCATTTTTGCGGGTGCAGGTCCGTCGGTTTCGGTCCCAGGCCGTTTTCACGAAAAGGGAGGTTTACTGAAGGGTGGTTTGTCCACCGCCGATTAACCCTGCAACAGAAGGCTACGGGCAGCCTCCGCCAGAAACCTCCGAATATCCCCAGGCCCCCAGACGAATTCCCGAGCAGCTCCCCAAGTCGCAGCAGAAGTCGTCCGAACATCGCGAGACACTCCAGTAAACTCTGGGAGCAACGGACATCACCCGAAACATGTTGAATACAATCGAAAACCCTCGAAACGCCCCAGTAACTTTCGAGGACGCGCGAATTCTTGGAATGCCCCCGAGAACTTTGGAGAGCCTGCGACTACCCCTTCTGGCCCTCGGGAACTTGTGAAACCTTTGTGAGGCCGTGATTTTGCGATCTTTTGAAAGCCTCCGAACTCCTTCTCCCTCTCCCTCCCCGCCCCTCCTGGCTTTCGATCGGCGGCGAGCCCACGGGGGAAGTGAGAGAGAGAGAGAGAGAGAGAGAGAGAGAGAGAGAAAGAGAAAGAGGGAACGGGCCTTCTCAGACGGCGGCGGGTCTTCTCGCCCCCCCCCCCCCGGGCTCGCCGCCGACTCGAGGGGCGGCCCTCATGTGGTCTGCTGCCCGCCAGCCTTGCGCAGCTGGTGGAGGCTTCCTCCAGGCGTCCCGCGGCCGCAAATGAGGCAAGCCCGTGGGCACGGGCCCCCCTCGGTGCTCGGGGGCACCCCGCTCTCGACAGGCGATCTGCTGGTCTCGCTAAGACGCCAACGGGTCCAGAGGGAAACGGGCCCCGGGGCCTTGCGCCGTTTTCGGCCTCCCGGGCCCCTCCGTGGGCTCCGGGAGTGCCAGACAGCGACCCAGGATGAAAAAGTGGTCCTGGGGGATGCCCCGTGATGTCCAGGACCCGTTTCCCTCAGGACACGGCTGCTTCATTCCAGTGGTCGCGCATTAACTCATCCTATCACTTGGCACCTCATCAGTGCCCTCTCAGAGTACTTCCTTTGACCTGAGTCTCATGCAACGTGTGTAGTCCAACTGCTTTTGACTCGGCTTAGCCGTGAGAAAGGCCAGCCTGGCCGCCGCTGACACTGGTTGCTGGACCCAGCAGTGGTCGTGCCCTCACCCATGCTATCACTCGGCCTTCGGAGGGAGGCTGCACGGACTTGGGTCTGGGTGCCGCGCGGGGCGCCCGCCGGGGCGACGACGCCCCGCGGAGGCGCTCGCGACGTGCGGAGTGGACAACAACGGCACTTTGCTCTCCGACTGCGCCTTCCAGGTCGCGCGCCTCGCCGTCGTCGTCGTCGTCGTCGTCGTCGTCCTCGCCGTCGCCGCCGCCGCCGCCGCTGTCGCCGCCGCCGCCGCCGCCGCCGCCGCCGCGCCGTCGTCGTCGTCGTCGTCGTCGTCGTCGTCGTCGTCGTCGTCGTCGTCGTCGTCGCCGTCGTCGTTCTCGTCGTCGTTCTCGTCGTCGTCGTCGTCGTCGTTGCGGAGGTAGCGTTGGCGATTCCGAATAAGTACGAGGTGGAGGAGAGCGGGAGCAGGAGGAGCAGGAGGAGGAGGAGGAGGAATAGGAGGAGGAGGAGGAGGAGGAAGAGGAGGAGGAGGAGGAGGAGTAATGATCATATTAATACGACTAATATGAGTAGTAATGATACTACTACAACTAATAATACTACTCATGGTAATATTCGTATTCATATTACTATTTTTTAGTATTAATAATGATCATCATAACAATCATAACATTAATATCATGGAGCATGGTCCTACTACTACTATTAATAATAATATCAGTAATATCACCAGTAACCATCCTAAGAAAATAGTACTACTTATAAAATTAGTATTACTAATAGTGATACTAATACTAAGAATAATAATAATACGAATACTGGTACGCATAAGAATCCCACTAATAACAATCATATGTATATTTGTATTCAAGCTAATTTTGAGAACAATAACGATACTAATGCTTATACTGGTAATACGACTAATAATACTATAACTACCATTACAACTACTAATGCTACTATTAGTAGTGTGAACAATACTACCACTACTAATAGTAATAATATTACTAATATTAATACTACTACTACTACTATTAAGAGTACTCATAACATTATTTATACTGTTAATAATGTTAATACTACTAATGCTGACAGTCATAGTACTAATGCTACTACTACTAACAATAGTCATAATCGTAATACTGATACTATTAATAATAATACTAAATATACTAAGAACAATAATAATATGAATGATGCTACTAATAATTCTAGTAACATTAAGAATGCTGATAGCAATAATAATAATACACATGGTACGAGTACTACTACTACTATTACTACTACTACTACTAATACTACTAATAATAGTAATAATAAAGTTACTCATGACAATGATACTAGTACTACTATTACTACTACTACTACTACTACTACCAATCGTTATAATGATAATAATGCTAATACTAATACTAACACTGATCCTATTAATACTAGTAGTAGTTGTAATCATAAGAATGCTACTACTAATAATAATACGGATAATAATATTATCAGGAACAATAACAATAATACTATCAATATTAGTAATACTATTGCTGATCGTATTACTAATCATAACAGTAATAATAAGAACAATAATGCTAATACTAATAAGAAGAATAAGAAGAATAATAACAATAATAAAGAATACGAAGAGGAATGAAATTAATAATAATAATAAGGATAAGAAGACGAATCAGCATACTTATAATACGAATAAGAATAAGAATACTAAACACAAACAGAATAATAATCATAAGAAGACTAATGCTGATTATAATGATGAGAGCGTACTAAGAAAAAATATTGAGAAGAAGAAGAGGAGGAGGAGGAGGAGGAGGAGGAGGAGGAGGAGAGGAGGAGGAGGAGGAGGAGGAGGAGGAGGAGGAGGAGGAGGAGGAGGAGGAGGAGGAGGAGGAGGAGGAGGAGGAGGAGGAGGAGGAGGAGGAGGAGGAGGAGGAGGAGGAGGAGGAGGAGGAGGAGGAGGAGGAGGTGAGGAGGAGGAGGAGGAGGAGGGGGAGGAGGATGAGGATGAGGAGGAGGAGGATGATGAGGAGGAGGAGGAAGAACAGGAAGAGGAGGAGGAGAAGGAGGAGGAGGAGGAGTAGGACAAGGAGGAGGAGGAGGATGAGGATAATGAGTAGCAGGAGGCGGAGGAGGAGGAGGAGGACCAGTGTAAATCCGAGAGTCAGCAACGATATTGCAATCCCCCCCCCTCCAAACTCCCTCTTCGTAGGCCCCTGCAAGGGCCAATTTTCAGTCAGGGGAGCGCCCCGTTGGAAGATAACCAATTCTAACTGCGGAATTGTGTCAGAACGCCATTCCTGGGATCTCAATGCCGCGAATCACTGTTACTGTTGCGTCTTGACGATCCCGAATCGTGCCAGAACGCCGTTCTTGGGACTTCAGCACCGCGGGTCAACGTGATTTGTGCACCTTGAAGTTCGGACATCGTGCCAACACATTGTTTCTTGGACGCTTTCCATGATAGTCCTTATAACTGCTGCAAGCTCTTGACGAGCGTGCGCGGCGCTAGGGCGAGAGCCACATTCTGGAAAGGAGCCGCCCTCCATCCGTGGAGCTCTGGCACGACACTTCTAACACTAATGTCCGCGGCGCGAAGGCTAGAGCCACATTCTGAAAACGGAGCGCCCTTCATCCGTTAAGCTCCTGCAGATTTTTAAGACGAGTGTGCGCGGCGCTCAAGCGAGGGCCTCATTTTGGAATCGACCCGCCCTCCATCCGTGAAGCTCTTGCAGTTCTTCAGAACGAATGCGCGCGGCGCTAAGGCGAAAGCCACAGTTTGGAAACCTCCCGCCCTCTCCGTGAAGCTACTGCAACTTTTAAGCGTCAGGATCGTAAATGGCGAGAGTCTCAGGCGAAACGCCCGGCCCGCCTCTTCGACCAGCCTCCGGGCGCGACAGGGGGGAGTTATTTACAGGGAAGAGGGATGGAGGAGGAGGAGGAGGAGGAGAAGAGGAGGAGGAGGAGGAGGAGGAGGAGGAGGCGGAGGCGGCGGCGGCGGCGGCGGCGGCGGAGGAGGAGGTGGAGGAGGAGGAGGGAGGAGGAGAGGAGGAGGAGGAGGAGGAAGAAAGAGGAGTAGGAGGAGGAAGGGGAGGAGGTGGAACAGGAGGAGGAGAAGGAGAAGGAGAAGGAGGAGGAGGAGGAGGAGGAGGAGGAGGAGGAGGAGGAGGAGGAGGAGGAGGAGGAGCGGGAGAAGGAGGGAGTATGAGGTTTATTGACAGCAGACGGTGCATGTTAGGACTGATTCGTATCCTTCTTCTTCTCTCCTTCCTCCTCCTCCTCCTCCTCCTCCTCCTCGTGTTACACTTCCTCCTTCTCCTCGGCATGGCGCGCCTGGGCAGTAATTGTCACGGGTAGCTCTTGGTGTCTTTTTTTGTTTGTACCTCGTTTCCTTTCCCAGGCCAGGATTCTTTACACGAGTTTGCCTATTGCATGCCCAGGCTTACGTGGCCGTTCGGGTTTGCATGGCGGCTGTCTGACTCGCATTGAGCTCACTGCCGAGGCGTGAGTTCTGGTCGGGGGAATCTTTCATATACTGGACACCCTGCCCCGGGGCCGCCCGGGCCGCAGCACCCCCCTCCCCCCGCCAGGAGCATCTCTGGGGCCTCCCCAGGGAATCCCCATAGCTTCCCGGCCCCCCCGGAGCTTCCGGGCATGTTGCAAATAAGTCTCAGACGGGCCCAGATGGCATCTGGACGGCCCCAGATGGCGTCAAGACGGCCCAAGAGGCCCCCAAGACATTTCCAAGAAGGCTCCAGGAGGACCCCCACGAGGGCCCGAAGAGCCGAACATCGCCCCACTCTCGTAGGAGAACACACATTTGTAGCAAATTCGCCGCTTTATGTGCACAGCGTCCCAGACGGCCCTGGAGGCCCCCAAGAGAGCCCCAAGACGGTCGAAGAGGTCCCCAAAGAGGGCCCCAAGACGGCCAAAGAGGGCCCCAAGACGGCCCAAGAGGCACCCAGGACTGACCAAGACGGCCCCAACAGGGCCCGAAGAGGGGCCCCAGGGGGGAATGCGAATTCTCAGCTCGAGGCCTCCACTCCAAGAGGACTCCGAAGACCGCCAGCAAGCCCCCAAAGACTCCCCCAGAGGATCCAAGAGGCCCAAAAAGAGGCCCAACAGAAGCTCCGAGAGCCGCCCCTATGAGGCCTCAAAGCTGTTTGCAGGAGGCTTCTCCAAAGACCCGAGCAAGCACTCGAGAGGTCTCCACCAACAGCCCAGGCACGGTGGCAGGATGGGCAGAGGATTACCAGGAGAGGCACACGCGGACGAGGGGCACGGTGGCCCCCCCTCTCCGTTCTCACATCTCGAGGCCTCGAGCCCGAGAGGACCGGGGAGACCGCCCACAGGACCCAGACGACCTCCCCAAGAGGACCCTAGAGGCTCCCAAGAGACCCAGGGGAGGCCCCAAGAGGTCCCCAACTGGCCTCCAGAGGGCATCACAATTGCCTCCAAGAAGTTGCCCACTCGAAACACCCCAACAGGCATCCAAGAGGTCTCTGACCAACATCCCAGGCACGGTGGCAGGATAGGCTGAAGGCCACCAGGAGGTGCACACGTGGACAAGGGCCAGCGCGGCCTCTCCTCTCTGTTCTCCTTTTGCTTTTCGTCTTCGGAGGCCCCGCTTCTCCTTCTGCTCTTGTTCCTTCTTGCCGTTTTGCCCTCGTCTTCGTCGCTGTCATGCTTTTGGATTCTTTCATGTTTTCTCGACCTCTAGATCGGCCCCCTCGTCCTCTTCGTCGTCCTCTTGGAGACCACTGTGCTCCAGGAAGGGCTGTTTACTACGTGCTCCCGCAGCGTTTTCGGACCAAAGTCCTATCCGCAACCGTCGCCCAACCCTCGACATCTCACTGCGATTTGGGATTCCGGAGAACCTGAGCGCGCGCGAAGCGCGCGATCGTTTTAGTAAGGTTAACCAGCAGCAAGAAGCTTGATGGTTCATGAGTCTTGGGGTTGCTCCTGTACGCGATGCCGCATCGGCAATGACGCACACGTTTGCCGATGCGTTTGCGTCAACATTGGTCCAGCTTTGCCTCACAAGATCACGAGTCCATTATGCTCGAGGCAAGAGCAGCAGCAGGAGCAGGAGACGCAGCCTTCCAGGTCACGTCCGCGCGGGGGGACCTCCAGAATGTCGACACCGTGGCCTTCTACCCTGGTGTGGCGACCTCCATCTGCGGTGAGACTGCTGTCGTCGTCGTCGTCGTCGTCGTCGTCGTCGTCGTCGACATCGTCGTCTTCGTCTTTGTCGTCGTCGTCGTCGTCGTTGTCGTGGTCGTGGTCGTGGTGGTGGTGGTCGTCGTCGTCGTCGTCGTCGTCGTCGTCGTGGTCGTCGTGGTCGTCGCGGTCGTCGTCGTCGCCGTCGTGGCCGCCGTGGTCAACATCGTCGTCGTCGTCGTCGTCGTCGTCGTCGTCGTCGTCGTCGTCGTCGTCGTCGTCGTGGTCAACGTTGTCCTCGTCGTCGGCGTTGGCGTCGGCGTCGACGTCGGCGTCGGCGTCGGCGTTGGCGTCGTCGTTGTCGGTTACGTTGTCAACATCGTCAACGTCGTCGGCGTCGTCGCAGGAGGGAGGGGAGGATGGCGGAGGAGGACGAGGACAAGGAAGAGGAGGAGGAGGAGGAGAAGGAGGAGGAGGAGGAGGAAGAGGAGGAGGAGGAGGAGGAAGAGGAGGAGGAGGAGGAGGAGGAGGAGGTGGAGCCCACTTTGGGGGCTAAGGTGAGAGCTTTGCCTGGGAACGGGTCTTGGGGTTCTCTCGGGCGAGGGGGTTTCTAAAACGGCTGCCCTCAAATCCTACACACCCATGTTGTGGAAGTTAAGGGCGGAACGCTTGTGGTGTGATTTTTCCTCCTGGACCCCTGACTGTGTGTGTTTCCACGAAGAGTCCGACCATCGTCCATTAATGTTTGGCCCACGGCTACCAGCACAGGACGATGCACATCTGCAATTCCGCCAACGACACCGGGCACATCTGGACTTCGCAGGCCGTACGTCCAGGGCGCTTCGTTTCACGACACGGTCATGTAGCGCTGCGAGGGCCAGGATGCGCCTGACCTACTACACCGCCTTCGCCCGATCAAAGATGCTACGCACCATGTGGCAGCGGCTCTGGACGACCCGTCCAGGGGCGCAGCATACCTGGAAGAGATGGAGGTCCAGGCTGCATCGGCGACGGCCTTCGGCGTCCTCGCGACCATCGAGCGGGGAGCCTGCTCGTTGGTTCCTGCTGTCCGGCGACTCCCGGCGACCTGGCAGGGCCATGTGGGTCCGCCGAGTGCGACTTTGGCGACCTGCCGAGAGGCATTACGTAATCAAGGTTTGACCTTGAACAAGCAGGAGCTTCTGGTGGACTGCAGGACGTGCACGCCAACCAGTCAACGGATGACAGCCATGCGTCCCAGGTCAAGAAGAACTATCAATCGCCAGTTCGCCGCCTGGGCAGGCAGACTACCACCACAGGTATTAACGTCATGAGGGACTCCGAGGGCAGGTCGACTCGGACGTCGGCATCAGCAAGCTCCTGCAGGACCACTGGACCATTGTCTTCCGCAACCAACCCGTGAACTAGGTCAAGCCTAGCGATTGGAGGCGCGTTGTCATCAAGGATGGGGCTCAAAAGGTTGACAGCACGGCTTCGAAGTGGCGAGTCCGTACGAAAGACATAGAGCAGGCACTCCGCGTGGCGGGCAACTCCCGTTTAGGCCCAGATGGAATTCCGTTTGCGGCCTGGCGGCCGATTGGCCGTTGGGAGCGCAGTTGCTGTGGGAAGCCGCGCGCGCATTGGAGCATGGCCTGGATGACTGGACGCCCATGCACAGGGAATTCAACGAATCATTACTTTGCTGTCTTCCCAAGCAGGCCAGCGGGGCCGATGATAGCGGCGAGCTGTTCTACGAGGCGTCCGGCACGAGACCCCTCAGCACTGCGAACACCGACTACAGGGTCATAACGAGTGCCCTCCGATCACGTTGGGAGCAGCCGATAGCACCAGTGGTGGTTGACCCCCAGCGTGGCTTCCTTCACGGTCGGTCCATGCTCAGGAACATCGTGGACACTGCACACGAAGCCATGGAGGCCTTCCTACAGGAGCGAGACGCCGATTTGGTCCTCTTCGAATTCGTCGCGGCCTTCCCGAGCGTATCCTGGAAGTACTTGATCGCTACGGCGAGTGCGGTAGGCTCTCCTTCATGCGCCACTAACGTCCTGACGTCGCTCTACCAGCACACGGTCGGCCAGCTGCTGCTCAGAGGGCGGATGTTCGGCGACATGCCCATGGAGGCTGGGATCCGGCAAGGGTGTCCACTTTCCCAATGATATTTTCCCTTGCGTCGGATAGCCTGCTGCGGATTTTGGCCCTGCGTCACTTGCGCGCGCTGACGCGTGAGTTCGCAGACGATACAGCGATGGTCGTCCGCTCGTGGACCAAGAAGAGCAAGAGGGTGTTCAGGACTTTTGCGACCTTGGCTTCGGTGTCTCACTTGCGTCCAAACATTGCCAAAACCATCATCATTTCGCTGTCGGACGCAGACCCTGCCCATCTGCAGGCCGAAATCGCGAAGCAACCAGCGATGCCGCAGCTCACGTCGGCGGCCACGGGCAAGTACTTGGACTTTTACGTTGACCCAGGAAAGGGGCACCTCTCTTGGGCGCGCCCGACTCAGAAACTCCAGGAACGGCTGCAACATTGGAATTGGGGCGAGTTCCGCTTGCACACGGCTTTCCGCATCTACGAGATTTCCGTTTTGCCGGTGCTCCTATCTGTTGTCAAATTGGAATAGCCGCCGCGGGACATCATTGATGCCAAGAGTCTCGTAGCCAGAAGGGTGGCACCAAGGCCTGGATCATGGTGCTCGGCGGCTGACCTCCATCATGGTTGCGACTTGGGCCTGGACCAGTGCCCCCGCCCCCTTGAGGTCTCTTGCGGGGCTGCGATATTGCGCGCGTGCACGTGGGAAGGGCATCAGGACGGAGGCATCCTTTGGTCCCGTTTGCAGCGTGAGTTACTGCTGGCCTGGAGCTGCACGGTCTTGCCGGTTCTTGCAGCCCGACTGAGGCCGTGGTACGACAAGCACGCTCTGACTGTCGTCTCCCGCAAGGCACGAGACCCAGAGAACCGTGGCATTCACCCACGCGCTGTCCGCGCTGACTTTGTGGGCGATATTTACGGCCCCTTGACTCGGGCCCAGGGTTCGCGGCTACGACAAGGCACCCAACGATTGTACGGGCACCGCCTCCTTGCAAAGTAGGGCTACGATTCAGTACAGCGTCTCCGCACGCGGCTTGCCCGATGGCGTCTTCCATGCCTCCTGGCCGAAGTGGCGCGGCAAATCCATGCGCATCTTCAACGGCTCCGTCGGCTAGCACCTCCGTGTGTCAAGGCTGCAGTGCTCGGCTCGATGCTCCGCTGGTGGGCAACCGCCCGACGCGAGAGAAAGGCTCGGAATGGCAGTTGCCACTGCGTTCTGGGCTGTCCCGACACAGCCCAGGGCTCCATCGAGCAGTACGTCCAGTGCCCCGTCACCTTGGGACTTCGTGGGGCGCCGGCTCGGGAACACCCTTGCCGTTCTGGGCCCGAGGAGGTGGATGCTCGCAGGGAGCCTTACTGACAATGCTGTGGCCGCGCGGACAGCAGCGACATGCGTCGCCAACGAAACTCTGAATCATATACGACGCAAGCGGCTACACTTGACATTCTCGTCTTCCTCTCCTGCGTCGCCTTCTACTTTTTGGTCTTCTGCGAGATATTCGATGGCGACCCGTAGCCGCGAAGCCAGTGCCGTGCCCCCGTGCTGGCAAGTCAGCGGCGCGAGGGGCGACGAGGCCTACCCAGGTCGCCTGGCACCTTTTTGACGTGCCAGCCAGCTGCTGGTTCCGGCCGGACGCCGTCGCCACACACAACTGGCATATTTGTTCCCGCGCGGTGGATTCCCACACGGTGTATTGCGTCAGCCGCGCCTTTGCTCTCGAGGTTCATGCAGGAGGGGTTCCCAGCCGTGTGTTTGTCACAGACCGCCAGGGCTTCTTGCTTTCGTTAACCGTTCGTGGTATTTCATGGCGCGCTTAGGCGTACGTATGGCGTGATTGGCAGTTTCCCCTTTCTCCTCCTCTGTTCTCCTCCTCCTCCTCCTCCTCCTCCTCCTCCTCCTCCTCCTCCCTCCTTCTCCTCGTCCCTTCTCAGGCGGGCTGGTTTGGGGGATGCCAGCCCGTCGATTTTGGATCCCTTCCGAGCCGATAGCTGTCTCAGCCGCGTGGCCGATAGTGTCACATTTTTTCGACGGTGTGGGGCGGAAGAAAAAACCAACTGCCACCTGCGGCCCAAGCATTCGACATTACCACACGATCCGTATTATAAGTTTCAACTTTTCCAGGACTGCGCCAGAGGTGCTCGCCGGCTTGGTGGCTAGTAGGTTGTAGTGTACGCACTCGACCATACATCACACCACATGCATGTTGAACTGAGCAAGCTTCCGTCTGAAACCTTCGTGCGAGAACGCTTGAACACATTAGCAGGTGGAGGTGGACTTGGAGGAGGAGGGCAAAGTATGGAGAGGAGGTTGATGATGGCAGGAGGAACAGGGAATAAGGCAGGGAGCAGGGATGAGGGGAATAAGGCAGGCAGCAGGGATGAGGAAAGAGGGCTGGACGAAGAGGTAGGAGGTTGCTGCTGCTGATGATAATGAGGAGGAGTAAAAGACCTGACGACGTTTCGACCCGACAAGCCCACGACGTGACGACTTCATGGCCTGACGACAACGACGAGGCTTTCGGTGGCTTTCTGTGGTTTGCACACGTTTTCAACAAGTTGTCGGTTGGATTCTGAAGCCTTCCGCTGGATCATGCCCAAGATTTTCGGATGTATGGAAGTATTTCAGTCGAAGGAATAAGGGGAGTAGTAGGGGGAGTGAGGAGGAGAAGGGGAAGGATGGAGATGAGGATGTGAAGGGGGATCATGGTAAGAGAGTAGTCTGTCAGGACTAGTGGGAAGGAGTCAGGGGGGACAGGATGATGACGACGAGGGGGCAGGAGAGAGAGGGGGAGGAGACGGGGGCCTCGGCGTGCGACGGCGCGTCGGGACCCTGGAGGCACTAAGACCCGTCAGTCGCGCCCTTCGCGAAGGTTGCGCTGAGGTTTTGAAGTGGTCGGTGCCCTTGCGACCGGGGGCGGTGACCCCCGGGCCAGAAGCCATGCTGGAGGGAGCCAGCGGCTCGCCGCATTCGATGATGCCTTGGGCGGGCGCGGCTCCCCCTCCTTCTCCTCCCCTCTTCCTCCTCCTCTTCCTCCTCCTCCTCCTCCTCCTTCACTTCCTCCTCCACCTCCTCCTCCTCCTCCACCTCCTCCTCCACCTCCTCCTCTTCCTCCTCCTCCACCTCCTCCTCCTCCTCCGCCACCTCCTCCTCCTCCTCCTCCTCCTCCTCCACCTACTCTTCCTCCTCTTTTTCCTCCTCCTCCTCCTCCTCCTCGTCCCCCTGGTCTTCCCAGTCCTGCTCAGGTGAGTCGGATGCGCTTGGCGGGGCCGAGCTGGAGGCGGAGGAGCGCCGCCCGCAGCAGTGGTGGTGCGTCTCGAACACGATCCGCGAGCGGCCCCTCGGCTTTCCCTGGCCGCCTCCTCCTGCTCCTCCTCCTCCTCCTCCTCCTCCTCCTCCTCCCCGCCGCTCCTTCTTTGCATTGGCTTCTGCAGACCATGGGCGGCCAAGAAGGGGGCGATGACCAAGGGTGGTGCGGATCTCTGGGGCCATGATGTCGCCGCGGGGTTTCACGCCCCCCCCTCTATTTTTTCCAAGGCGTCCTCTGGCCCCACCCCCCGTGGCCGCGCACGTGCTTCGGGCCGTGATTGGCGCACCCCTCTCTCGGACGCCCTCCTCCTGGCCGTCTCCGACCAGGCATGCCCGCGTCGGAGAACAGTTTGGGCGGGAGGTTTTTGGACGTCTTCGACCTCCAGGGGCCTTCGCCCCGGCCTGGGACCGTCGCCAGCCCTGGGGCAAGGGCCGGGACTTCCGGAGACCCTGCATGGACAAATATCAAGATATTGAATGTCTGGGCCCTATGCTGTTTTTTTGCCCTTTCTCTTCTTGGCTTCGGGCTGTGCCAAGGAAGGGGTCACCACCACAGGGGGTCGCCAGCTCTTCCTGGAGATCGAGGTTCCAGAATCGAGGCTCGAGGAGGTTTTCGGACGTCTGGGGTCGTTTTGGAATGCTCAGGAGTGTTCTTGGGGGCCCACTTCCTCGAGGCATGCGGCGCTTCCTCGTGGAACTGGCGACCCCCCCAGCTGCGACCCCCCATTTGCGCTCCGCCGATTGGGGCCTCTTAGGTCTCAGCGTGGGCTCTCTCGAGGCCCTCTTCGGCTCGGCGCTCTTCGTGGGTGTTATGTGCCCTCCGAGGGCCGTCGGGGGCTTGCGGGAGCACAGGGAGATACCCGAAAACCTCCCGCTCCCCGTCCTGCTCCTCCTTTCGGAGCAGGGCGTGTTGAGACCACGGCGGCCGTCCCGCCCAACCCAACTCCGCTCAAGATTGATCCCGGGGGCGCTCCTCCTGGGGTCCGTCCTGACCCGCTTTCGACGCTGGCCCAGCCACGACGACGAGAAACTGCCAGGAGCCCCAAGCGGGAGAAGAAGCGCCAGGGAGGGCCGCCGCTGTCTCCGCTGGCCCTCCGATCCTCCCATCCTCTCCGACATTTTTTTGTTTTGATCCTCCCATCCTTTCCACTGGCCCCTCCGATCCTCCCATCCTCCCATCCTCTCCGATCCTCCCATCCTCTCCGACATTTTTTTTGCCGTTGTTGTTTCTTCGCAGCGTGGCTTCCCAGAGGGCTGGGCCCCTCCCTGGGACCCGCTTCTCCTCCCGGGCCGCTCCTTGACGGCCCGGAGGGCCTGGCGGGGCCCTGGGAGGCCGAGCGGCATATCAAGCACCCGCCGTCGTGATTTTCTCTGGACGACGCGAGGCTTCCAGACTTCTTCGCGGTGTGAGCAAAATTGCGACGCACAGTTTTTCGCTGTTTTCGGCCTCTGGGGGCCCTCACCGGGCCTCGGGCCCGTCCAGAAACGACTCAGGATGAAAAACCGGTCCCTGGGAAGAAGAGGTCCAGATTTTTGAGGGTCATGTCATGAAGCAATCACGACGTCGGGGGTCTGGGATGTGAGGGTCCAGCAGTCAAAAGTCAATGCCTGGACCTGTTCTGGGGGGCGTCCTGCTTGGAATCTCGGCGAGTTCCGCCAGAGGCGGCGCCAGGCTGTTGAGACCGCCCCCGGCCACTCGGGGGCCCGTGGGGGCCAGTCGGGACTACCTGGGGGGGGGTCTGTTTGTGCGCAGCCCGAAGCCTGGAGGAGAAGGAGGTGGAGGAGGCTGAGGAAGAGAAGGAGGAGGAGGAGGAGGAGGAGGAGGAGGAGGAGGAGGAGGAGGAGGAGGAGGAGGAGGAGGAGGAGGAGGAGGAGAGGAGGAGGAGGAGGAGGGAGAAGGAGCAGGAGGAGGAGGAGAAGGAGGGGGAGAAGGAGGAATCAGGAGGATGACGAGGAAGGAGAAGGAGGGGGAGATGGAGGAAGGAGGAGAAGGAGGAGGAGCAGGAGGAGGATGACGAGCAGGAGGAGGGGGAAGGCCCCCCCCCCCCTCCGACGACGGCGGCGGCGGCGGGCAGCGGCCGGGGCGGCCCCGCCCGAGGAGGGCGGCACCGGCCGGGTGCAGAGCTTCGTCGCCCCTGCCGGGTGGGCCGTGGCCGCCGGGCCCGCAGACGGCACGGACGGCCTCCTGAAGGCGCCCGCTGCCCGCCGCCGCCGCCGCCGCCGTA